TCCAACAGATAAGGAAGACAGAGGGTCAGGTCCTCAATGTTCCCTGCTGAGCAGATAACTAGGACAGTCCCTCTCAGCGATGTCCTCTGTTGGCAGACAGTGAAAATTTTTCCAGAGGAGCACTCAGGCCATCAGTCCCTGGTTCATTTTCTGGTCCCAGAGAGATCCTCTCTAGGGAGAGGATTGCCCCCATGAGTACTTTTCTTGAGATTAAATTCCTCTGAGCCAGGCAGAATGCGCCAAGCTTGCAGATGGCAGAGAATCGGGACCTGGGTGAAGTCTTGGAGTGGCCATGCAATCCCTGAGTGTGGTTTGGGGTGTTTGTAGTAAGAAGAAAGGGAGAGTGAATGAAAACTCTCTCACCCATACAATTCTTGAGGGGAAACTGGAGCTTAATGTAAGGAAGCCTGGGCATCCTCAGAAACTGTATTATATTCTGAGAACAGATGCAGGGCATGGGGAAGGTTTCTGTGGTTAAGTAGTTGTCAAGTTCGCCCAAAGCAGAGCTGGCCCCCAGGAGTAAAGACAGGGTGTACCCTGGCACCGTCCTCTCTTCTCTCAGTTGAACCAGGGAGAAACAACTACGTGAATTTTCAGGAACTACTAAAACTCAGCTCTTGCTCTGCATCCTCAGCCAGAGCACAGCAGGTTGAAGCGAGGGACAAAGCGAATAAGAATGTATCCTTGAGCGGTTACACAGCAGGGGGACTCTTACTCTTTTGCTGGGGTTCAGGAGTGGGGTCATTCTGGTTGTCAGTGGGAAGATGTGAGCCTTGATGGGTCCCTCCCAGCCTATGCCTCGTGGGGAGCTCCCAAGTTCAACTTCCTCCTGCAGGGAGAGACACAGCAGCTGCAGCTACACAGCCCACCTTCAGAAACGACAGACTAGAGGTGTGTTATCTCCACAAAACCTGGTTCTCAGTGATTTCTACCAAGTGAGACTGCCTGCTTGGATGCCTGGTAGTGACAGCTTCCCAAGTGGCAGGCCTAGAGAGCTGCTCCTCTTGTTAGTGAGCAGGTTTCAGATTTCACATTTGTGTCTCATCATTGTCAGGGTGGCAGTTAAGAGAGCCCGGGCAGCAGGTCCAACCAGCATTTAAAGGATAAACTTGCTGTTCATATTCAGGTCCTCCTGTTCAAGATCTCAGGGTGCTGGGGATAGGAGGCCAGCCCAGTCCTGTGTGAGAACAGAAGGCTGTGGGTTAATTTGTCTTGTGTGGCTTCTGAACAGAAGTGAATATGCTTTATACATTGGAAGTACTAGGAAGAGAGTACAAGATTCCAAGGATGAGCAACTATTATTAGAAAAAATAATAATTATTAAAAAAAGTATTTTTCCTCTGGATTTAGTGGTATCTTATTCTATCTATTGAATATGGACACACTGAAGGAAAAAGTTTTAAAAAAAATTAAATTGTCTCTCCTTCCCAGTATAAGATGCCAGTCCAACCACTAAAGAATAGATCATTTGTCACTTAGGAATGGCAAAATTATGTGCCATTTTCCCCCATCAATTTTTGTCCATTTTGGAGCCTAAAGGCCATCGAGAAAAGTGCAATTAAAGCACTCAAATTGCCACCACTGGTAAACACGTACACTTTGTAAGACTAATACAGGAATCTTTTGCCCTGCTCCTCCATGGACAGGGCTCTGATGAGCATGGCTTTAAATGGAATCCAAGCATCTTCATCTTGGTAGGTACAGCTACCAAGAGAGTAGAGCAACATTTCAGGTATAAACTAGTCTATTCCTGAGGAGATCATGTGATATTCACACTCATGGTGGAAGATTCCTGAGGAGAACATGTGATATGCACACTCATGGTGGAAGAGGCAATCTCACCACACACCAAGGCTCTCCTTGCAGGTAGAGCAGACAAGCCCTGGGTAGGACCAGAATGCGGAGTTCACAGGCTCTCTGCCCTACCCCCATGACACCCTTTTGTGCCAGAGCCTGGGTTTTGCAGCAAAACTCATTTCAGGCCAGGGAACCGTGGGTCCAACAAGAATTGTAAGCAGTCTATTAAAACTCTGGAAGTGGCCAGTCCTGCTGCTTTAATCATTAATTCACCAGAGAAACAATATGATGATAGATAGGGTACCTACCATTCATGCAAGGTAACAATAGAAGGGACCCCCCTAAACTGATAAAGGATATGAAGCCAGTTGTTAATGTTCTCCCTGTTCTAAATTCACCCTTTAATATATTCTCTCTGATAATGGATGAATTACCTTAAGCATCTCTCCTTCAAAGTGATCAAAATGTTACTGAAGGAGAAAGTGGCTCTCCTGTGACTTCTGGCTGTCAGAAGTGTGGGTGTAAGGATATCCTAGGTGCTCGGCCCCAAGCATGTACCCAGAACAACTGTCCTATCGAGTGTAGCCTGGTCATTGGCTTTCTGTGGCCCTCTTCATAGGGACATCCTGTGCTCCAAGCCAGCCACCTACCCGCTGATTTCCTCTAATTGATTGCTCTCCCGACCCACCCCACCTCACCACTAACGTTACCTCCTGTACTTTTCCCAAGGCTGCAGCCCTTACAACACCAAGGCCCTCCGGATCCTATGTATAGGACATTGTTAGCTCCAGGCCTCCAACCCCACCAGGACCCTTGCTCCTACTACACGTCTACATGCTGGCCACCAGCAGTGGCTTGTCCACACTGATGTGCTCCAGAGGGTACCTTCCTGCTTACCTTGCAACTGTAGACCAGCTGTGGTTTTGCAGACCTGCTCTGGTGCTGGCAAACCAGAAAACTTCTCTGCCATCCAGTAGGTTCTCCTACACCTTCTCCAATGAGGTGTGACCTCCAGTCTTGGGGAGGGACCCGCATTCCAAGTTTGTCTTTCCTTGGGTATGCTCCCTCAGGCCCAGGATACCATATAGAGTTTTCCTATATCTTATATATTCTACATTTGTCATAGTTTAATAATTCTTTATGTTAAACATTATGCTTCACTTTATATTAAAATTCCCCTGTCCACTGTGTACTTTCCATATCCTGATTGGATCCAGATTGCTACAGAACACAACACCTACAGCAAATATCATTCCTGGAATTACTGAAAGCCTTCTTTTGAGAGCTGCATCAAGTAAGAATGTCCACTAACACCCAGAAAGAGTAGTAAGGGGAAAAAGAAGGAATAAAATGCTCGGAAAGGAAGAAGTAAGACTGGCATTGTTTGCAGATGACATGATTGTGTACACTATATTCTACAGGTATTTTCAAATTGGTAGAATCAATAAAAGAGTTTAGATAGCTGTTTGTAGGATAAAATATCAATATACAGAAGCCAATTGTATTCTATTTACCAGCAACAAATTTACAAAATGAACATTTCAAAGGCAGTATTTGCAAAATATGAAGTACCTAGGATAAAATGTCCTCTTATAGGAAAAATATGAAGTATTATTGGGACACATTAAGGAAGTTCTTATTAAAAGGAGAGATAGACCATATCTATTCAATAACATTCCATATTATTGACAAGGAGTCAAATCTAAAAGTTCAACGCAATCTTAATTAGAACCTCAAACAAGATTTTGGTTGAAACTTTTCTGATGAATTGATAATATAAGTGGAGTTGAGACAGGCCAAAAATAACCTAGACATTCTTGAAGAACAAGGCAGAATTGAGTGGCCTTATCCAAAGATCAGAATTGTTTATAGATCTGTAGTAATTAATATTGATATGTGGTATTTAAAATGGACAGATAAATGGAGCCATGGTACTTAATAGAGAGTACACAAACTAGCCCATACATAGGTAGATGCGTGATTTATGACACATGTGGCACTGCAAATCAAGAGTAAAAGGGCAGACTTTTCAATAAGTGGTTCACTGAGACAATCAGATATCCACATGAAGAAAAAAAATGAAACCCTACTCGACACTATACACAAACATCACTTGTAGGTGGATTATGACCTAACTGTGAAAGGCAAAACCACAAATATTTCAGAAGGAAATATAGAGAATATTTTCATTGCCCCAGGGCAGGGACAGATTTCTTGAAACAGAAAAGCACTAACCACAAGGAAAAGAATGATAAATTTGACTATGTTATAATTAAGTATGTTATAACTAAGATTTGTTCACAAAGCACGGCATAAAGCAAGAGAAAATACAAACAACAAAGCAAAGGACTATTTTGGCCACACATATAACCACCAATGGACTGGTATTTAAAACACATAAAAAACTCATTGGATCAGTAAAGACAAGATGGAAAATAGAATAGAAAAATGGTGAAAGAGTTGAACATGAACAGGCTTTTCACAGAAGAGAAAATCCAAGAGGTTCATAAACATGAGAATGTGCCCAAACTTAGTAGTGGTAAAAAACAGTAAACTAATTCTGGCAATACTTGGTGTAGATGAAGATGTGCAGGAGCAGGAACTCTCTGTGTTACTGGTGGGATTGTAAATTGGTACAACCACTATAGAAAACAATTTGGCATCGTGTAGAAAAGCTGAAGATACGCATACTCTGTGGGCCAGTGATTCTGTTCTTGCATGTATACCCAAGAGACTTTTAAACATGAGTCCCATGAAAAATGTCCAAGAATGTTCATTGTACCATTGTTCACAATAAAAAGCTAAAAACAACCCTGGATGAACCCAGTGTTCATCCAGTGTAGAATGAAATAATCATATCATAATCACTTTGCTAAAATCATGCACTGGAATGCTAGTCAACAATGGAGACAAAAGATCTACAGCTACTAGGAACAACATGATGAGTCTCTCAAATAAATATGATACACAGTGAAAGAGGCAGGCCATAAAAGGGAGCATGCAGCATGATTCTGTTGATATAACTTCATATAAACTGTATTGTTTAGGGATGCATACAAAAGTTGTAAAGTCATATTAAAAAAAAAGCACTGAAATGATTGTCACAAAGTCAAGATAACGACTATATCTATAGGGGAGGGTATGGTTTGTGATTGAGAGGAATACGGTGGATGTATTCTGGAAGGCTGGCAATGGTCTATTTCTTGACCTTCGTCCTGGTTACACGGGTGTTTGCTTTTATAAATTATCTAAACCTGGCAGATATATTTTATGCATTCCTCTATACCTCAGATTTGAAAAAAATGTTTCCTCCAAAAAATGTAATAGAAAGAAAAATATGTGATGTAGAAATTTTGATGAGGCTTGAATTGTTATGGATGAAAAACTTGATCTTTTAATCAAGAGATCAGCAAGTGTCCATTATCATTAAAAGAGGGGAAAGAAGGGATTACTTAAACTATAGGTATCCCATAATCTAGTCATCACTCTAAACCTTTCTCTTGCCAGATTAATTCACCCTGTATTTATATCAATTCCCAACTCACTGATGACAGACAAATTGAAGGATCATCATCAACATTAATAAGATCATTAGGCATCATAGGCCAAATACATTACAGTGAGACTAGGCCACCACACTTAAATGCAAGCAGGCACATTGGGGCTATTGGGCATGCAAAAGGCATCTGTGCCTTGTTCTCAGGAGAGTCCACTGCAGTAACTTAGGGTTTAACCTTATCACATTTAACTAGTACTCTTGTCCAGAGACCTCCGTGTGCTGGAGAATCTAGAGTAAGCTGAAGAATGTCCTCATCATGCTGTGAGATTGGACATAAAATTTACCATGGTGCAACCAATGGTGGAAGAGCAGAGTTGGTTTAGGTTGTGTACCTTATAGGGAGAACCCAGGAGTGGGTTGGGTTCTCCAGATTTCAATATAAATTGTTTCATCCTCCAGGCTTTGCATTTCTAGGCTGAACAGTGCTAATCTGCTTCGGCCCCACCTCTTACTCAATCTAGTCTCTGCACCAGCAGGACAAAAAATTTAACTATGCGACAAATTTTCCTAAAGACATTGCTCAAGACAGTTCTGGATATGGAAGCTTTCCAGGAAATTTTTTTAAAAGACAACCTTTTCAGTAGGAATTGGTGGCACTATGGTTGTTTAATCTTGACACATAGCGTATTCTCTCAGGAATTTTCTGTCATCCATTAATCCAGCCATCCATCCAGTAAACAATGTTTAACACAGGATAAGTGCTAACCACCATGTTTAGCACCGGGAGGGGCTGGGGGTGTGTTTATTTTGGTACATAAATCGGTAGTGAGGTACCGATTTATGTTGCATTTAGCAGATAGATAGCTAAGGTATTCATTCCAGCACCATTTCCCCTGTATCTGGGAAGACCTCCTTGATTTCCTAGTAATATTAACTGTGGAACTTATTTATGTATACGAGGCTCTGCCCCTGGGCTTTCTATTCTGTTCTAGACACCCAGTACCAGAATATTTAAATCACGATGGCGTTAAACACGTTTTAATATCTGATAGGGCCAGTTTCTGCGCATTGCACTTTTTTTTTTTTTTTTCCTTTCAGGAACGTGTTCGGGCCCGCGGCAGGGGGCGGGGTCGCGCCTCCTCCGCGATTCTGGTTCCAGCGGAGCCTCATGGACGCGGAGATGGAAATCCCGAGGCTGCTCCCGGCTCGCGGGTCGCGACAGGGCGGCGGCGCTGGCAGCCCCGGGGGCGGCGGCCGGATCCACGGAGGTCCTGACCCGCGGGCCGGCCAGGCCCCCGCGCGCCGCCTCCTGCTGCTCCGGGGCCCCCAAGATGGCGGGCCCGGGCGGCAGCGTGAGGTGGCCCGCGCGGCCTCCCCGGGCCCGGGCCCTAGCCCGTTGGTGCCGAGGCCCGATCACGCTGGCGGCGGCGGCGGCGGCGGCGGCGGCGGCGGCGGCGGCGGCGGCAGCGGCGGCGGCGGCGATGGCGATGACTTCTTCCTGGTGCTGCTGGACCCGGTGGGTGGAGACGTAGATTCCACGGGCGCCAGCCAGGCCGCAGGGCCCCTATGGAGGGAGGAGGCTGGGCTGGGCCCACGGTTCCATGGGCACGAAAGCGGCGCGAACCCCGAGGGCCGCCCTGCGCTGGGCCCCAGCTCCCTGTCCGCTATCCGCGCCCCAGTCCCGGCCCTGGCCCCGATTCCCGCCCCAGTCCTGGGCCCCGCCGCGGCCTTCGCGGGCACCGTCACCATTCACAAACAAAACCTGCTGTTGCGCTTCGAGAACGGCTTCCTCACCCTGGCCACGCCCTCGCCGCCAGCCTGGGCGCCTGGGGTCGCCCCTGCCCCGCAGCCCGGGGGTCTGATCGCCCCGCAAGCGGGGATCCCGCACGCCGCGCAGCCTGGGGACTGTCCCGAGCTGCTGCCCGACCTCCTGCTGGCCGAGCGGGCCGAACCCGCGCCCGCCCCAGCGCCCGAGGAGGAGGCGGAGGGCCCGGTTGCTGCTGAGAGTCCCCGCGGGCCGCTAGGCCCGGGCCAGGGCGTGGTGCTGTACCTGTGTCCTGAGGCGCAGTGCGGACAAACCTTTGCCAAGAAGCACCAACTGAAGGTGCACCTGCTGACGCACAGCAGCAGCCAGGGCCAGCGGCCCTTCAAGTGCCCCCTGGGCGGTTGCGGCTGGACCTTCACCACCTCGTACAAGCTCAAGAGGCACCTGCAGTCACACGACAAACTGAGGCCCTTTGGCTGCCCGGCAGAGGGCTGTGGCAAGAGCTTCACCACGGTGTATAACCTCAAAGCACACATGAAGGGCCATGAGCAGGAGAACTCATTCAAATGCGAGGTGTGTGAGGAGACCTTCCCCACGCAGGCCAAACTCAGCGCCCACCAGCGCAGCCACTTCGAGCCTGAGAGACCCTACCAGTGCGCATTTTCGGGCTGCAAGAAGACGTTTATCACAGTGAGTGCCCTGTTTTCCCATAACCGCGCCCACTTCAGGGAACAGGAACTCTTTTCCTGCTCCTTTCCTGGCTGCAGCAAACAGTACGACAAGGCTTGTAGGTTGAAAATTCACCTTCGGAGCCACACTGGTGAGAGACCTTTCCTTTGTGACTTTGAGGGCTGTGGCTGGAACTTCACCAGCATGTCCAAACTCCTTAGGCACAAAAGGAAGCACGACGATGACCGGAGGTTCATGTGTCCTGTAGAAGGCTGTGGGAAATCTTTCACGAGGGCCGAACATCTGAAAGGCCACAGCATAACCCACCTGGGCACAAAGCCTTTTGTGTGCCCCGTGGAAGGCTGCTGTGCCAGGTTCTCTGCTCGCAGTAGTCTCTACATTCACTCCAAGAAACACTTGCAGGATGTGGACACTGGGAAAAGCCGATGCCCAGTCTCCACTTGTAATAAACTCTTCACATCCAAGCACAGCATGAAGACCCACATGGCCAAAAGGCACAACCTGCGCCAGGATCTCTTAGCTCAGCTAGGAGCTGCAAATTCTCTTACGCCCAGCAGTGAACTTACCAGCCAGGGGCAGAATGACCTCAGTGATGCAGAGCTTGTGTCTCTCTTCTCTGATGTGCCCAGTAATAGTTCTGCTGCAGTATTGGACACCGCATTGGTGAACTCTGGGATCTTGACTATTGATGTGGCTTCTGTGAACTCAACTCTGGCAGGGAAACTCCCTGTTAATAATAATAATTCCTTAGGGCAGGCGGTGGACCCTCAGACCTTGATGGCCACCAGTGACCTTCCTCAAAGTCTGGATACCTCACTCTTCTTTGGAACGACAGCCGCTGGTTTTCAGCAGAGTCCCTTAGATACAGATGATGTCTCAAGTGTAAGTGCGGGGCCGTTGGGATCTCTGAGCTCTTTGGCTGTGAAAACCTCGAGTCAAGAGCCCCAAGCTTTGACCCCCAGCAGTAAGCTAACAGTAGACACAGATGCTCTGACTCCTTCAAGCACCCTTTGTGAAAACAATGTCTCGGAACTACTGCCGCCAACCAAAACGGAATGGAACGTACATCCTGATTCTGACTTCTTTGGACAGGAGGAAGAAACCCAGTTTGCATTCTCCAATCCTGCAGGAAACCATGGGTCTCAGAAAGAAACAGATCTTATCACAGTGACTGGCAGCTCATTTTTGGTATGAATTAAACTCTATTCATTCCTTGCCACATGGCTTACTTTTATTGATGACACTCAATTTTAAGAGTATTCTGGACTAAATGTTTAAATGCAGTCATTTCTTATAGGTTTGAAAAAGAACAGAGCCCTGGGCTACAAGTTTGGAGATTTAAATTCTGATCTTGAGTCTGGAACTGACAGGTTGTGTGACCCTGAGCAAGTCACTTATCCTATCTGAGCCTTAATTTCCTTATTTATAAAATGAGGTGGTTTGAATAGATTGTTTCTAAGGTCTTTTCAACTGTATGATTCCTTGATAATATGCTTCTTTCCTTGAAAAAAATTAGGACATTTTTCAGTGATGTTGCATGTGCTTTTCTTCAAACATGCATAAACTACACATAATAGTAGAATGAACATTCATGTATATGACACCCAACTTCAGCTATTGTCAATTCATGTACATTTTTGTTTATATAATCTCCATTCTCACCCTCTCCCAGTATTATTTTGAAATAAATACCAGATATCACATCATTTCAACCATAAATATGCAGTATATGTTTCTATAAAGCATGGGCTCTTTTGGAAAAATCTTCAGTTCCATTATCATACTTAAAGTTAACAGTAGTTCTTTGATACTGTCAGGGTTCCAACTTATAATTGTCTCATAAATGCTATTTGTTTTAATATTTTTAACAATTAGAATCCCAGTAAGCCTCTTAACTGTCTTTTTAATCTGTATGTTACCCTGTTGTCTTTTTTCTTGCAATTTTATTCATTGAAGAAAGGAAGTTGTTTCACATGTAGCATTTGCCACAGTCTTAAGTTTTGATAATTACATCCCTGTGGTGTTAAGTTCCCCTACCCTCTGTTTCCTTAATTTGGTAGTTGGATCTAGAGACTTGATCAGAATGGAAATATGATTTTGGGGATAGGAATGTTTCATATGTCGTGTTGTGTTCTTTTAGCAGGTGGCACATAATGTCTGGTTTTCTCTCTTGTGATATTTGCAGCTGCTGGTGATTGGTGCATTAATTCATGATTACCTGTGCTTCTGATATCATGAATTGTTCTTGTAGAGTTACTATTAATGGAGGAAGAAATGCTGTTGAAGGCATGTATAAAAGTTTGTTAGAAATATTATTCAATGCCAAAATAGTTTCTTAAAGGTAGAACTAACAAGAAAAGAAAAAAGTAGCAAAAAATGTTTTGACTCTGCTCCCCATTTATCTTCCACACCTCTTTTAATGATGGGAGGCTTTGCTGTTGTAGAAATTGTCAGCCAGGACTTTGACATGAAACAGACCCATGGTCAAATTCATGTTGGATAAGTGGCCTTGAATAAATTAATTTCACTAAGCCTCAGTTTCTTAGCTGTCAAAGGATCATAGCAATGCACACACATAGCTAACACACCTGAGACTTTTAATCTTTTCCAGTTTTTAATATGTAAAGAAAAATACTATGTGCTTTGACATATTTTGATGAATTTATGTAATCCTTTTACCATCTCAATCCTTCCTACTGTAAAGAAGAAATTGGGATAATTTAATCCTGTTCATGTCCAGACAAGGTTTGTGAGAGTTAGGGTGTAGCAAGATAGGGAATCTCTTTATTCCCTCCACTGAATTATTTCCCCCCAGGAATTTCTGTGGCTAATGCCAGGAGTGGAAATATTGCTCACAGGTATATCTGCATCCCTGTTCATTAGACCAATTTGTCACCATCTTTGCTCTGATTCCAGAGTTAGACTTTGCTGTAACTGCAGAGTCTGCTGTTGCAAGAAACTGATAATGGAGTAGAGAAGGTTTCCTACTCTCTGTGGTCTGGAGAGCTCATTGTTTGCATTTTCCCAGAGTTGGAAGGAAAGATTGAAGCTGAATATTGTGTGAAATGTCTGTCTTATATGAGTGTAGCATTTTGAATTTTGTGGAACATCTTCACAACTGTTGTTCAGAGCAACCCTATGTGGTAGTTTTGGCAAAGTTTGTTCTGTGGCTCATGGCATTTTAGCAAATGCACATTCTAAATGGACTTTGGCTAGTGACTGACAGTTCTATATATATCAATAACTTAAAACAAAGAAGATAAATTATTTTCACCTCTCACTTCCCACCCATCCAACTTTCATGATTTATCCCTGTGTCATAACTAGCTGCTGTTTTCCACTTTAATTGGTTTCTGTTACTTTCTTTTTACTTTCTCCCCAGTCCACTCCCATGTATGTGCATTCCAGCCCTTACCATGCCTTACTTTTTATTTTTTAATGGATAGATCTCTTCCTGCTACTATTCCTCAGATCTCCTCGTAGCCCATTTTCTTCCAATGATAACATTTGCTGAGTGTACACTGCAGTTGTGTGTATAGTAAGAAGTTATTTTCTGAGCTTAGATAATACTGTGTGTATATATGACTCAGATGGCAAAAGACATTATTTTCTATATTGTTCAGATGAGAAGTAGATTTCTGTTTTATTATTTCCATTTTTTAAGAGTTTTTGCCAAGGAGTTCAGCTAAAACTCGTGTTTGCTGTAGTGTACTAGCCCAGTAGTGTTTGCATGTGAATGCCTATGGATGACAGTTATTGTAGCTCTTTGGCAGTGCACTAAAAACTTGTCACTTTGAAATGTTTATGTACTGTGTGTATGGGGGTATACACACACATATATTTTTAAAGTGGTTTTATTCATTTAGTGATAAACAAAAACTAGGCATACTTTTGTAAATCAGAGAAATGCTCAGAATTTCATTGTGTCTACACATTCAATTGTTTTCTGTCTTTGCTTTGGAAATATTTGTATTCATAAAGCACATTTCAAAAATATTGTCACTCATTAAGGCCTCTTAGATTGAGCACTGTTTTTCATGTCTGGCAGTTAACGTGCGTCGAGGATTGAAATGAACACACAAGTAGCGAACATCAAATAAATTACTTAAACATGAAGAGAATTTATACTGTGACTTCTTTCTTGAATTCTTTAAACCAGCTTCCGTCCAATAAAAAATCATTAACTATATTTTTTTCTACTCATTGCTTGAATTTTCAAAGGACAAATGTTACTTATCTCATGGATTCACAGGATTTCATTGAACAAATTTGTTCAAATTATTCCTCTTTCAACTCCATTTTCCAGAAAAATGGTGAAACTTTTTATACTTTCAAGGTACGAAGTTAAACTTCTGTTGATGGTGGTTTAAAATTGCCATCACTCCTTTTGAATAATTGTACATGTTTTAATTTAATCCTATTTCCTTTCTGCTTCTCCTCAGTCGTTGGTTTATTTAAAAATCTTGCCAATTGGAAGCATAATAACACGAAGGCTTAAAAAGAAGTTTCTTTCCGGATACTCTGTTGACCATGTTGATCATAAGTTCAAAATATATTGGCCTTGGCATTTTTACCAAGTAGTATAATTAATATAAATCAATACTGAGTAGCAGGAGTTAATTATGGGTAGATTATTAAGTTTATTTTTCTCTTTATGTTCTTATCCAGGAGACATATGAGAAGGCAGGCAGGAGCAGGCAGGAATAGAATCGTCAAAGTCCAATATCCCTGGAGATCTGTGTGAAATTGGCTTTTGGCTCCTTAGCCAGAGTCACTTCTGTCACTAGAGAAAATTGTGAGGCAAGTGGTGGCATAAAAACCTAGTCATGAGAACCCCTATTATAGTCTCTCCATTTTATAATTCCCCTGTCCACTAAAAGAGATAACCCTAGAAGGAGTGGAAGAAAAAAAAGTGAAAAATTAAAGAAGGAGCATGAATAACTCTCCAGGAATTATGCTGTATTTAATGGTAAATTTGATAGAAATCCTACATTGTCAACTAAAATAATTTTTCATTCTTATTAATTGCTGACATTTAAAAATATATAAAACCCTTAATTGTCAATTTTTCTAAAGAAAACATCCTAACAGTATTTTAAAAGGAAGCATACAGTGATCTAATAGCACCAACAATCTCTGAGTCCCTTAATACCATCCTTTATACTTATTTACCAAGGTACCAATCAGCCGTTATGTACTGAGCATGTAATCTGTGAAGCAGTCTCAGGTATTACACCTAGGTATACTTCATTAATCCATTAACCAGTGTTTTACCTCTTATGTACCACTTATGTGACAGGTATTGTCCTTATGTTCAAAGACATCATCTAGATGGGAAACTATTAAAACCAATGTATTGCAGAATTCTAAGAGGTACTTTATAGATTTTACTAGAGTAAAAGTTATTTTCTGTGAGTGGACATAATTTTGATAAGGGTAAATCAATTTACAGAATATCATCAAATATTTATTTCATTATAATATTTCATTTAATGTATGAACATTAGAACAAAATTATTCTAAACTATAATTTTGACAGGTATCTTAGATTTGATAAAGTATAGCAAAAAATATGAAAATCAAGTATGAAGTAGGCTTTATTTTGATTCATTTCTAGATTACAGTCTTTGATTTGAGATGTGTAGAAGTGATTCTAGAGATTTTATACTTTGTCATTTTATCAATGAGAAAAAATATTAAAGCCTACGCTTTTTGTATGTGAAATTTATTTTCCTATTATACGACATAATCGCAAAATTTACTTTCTCCTATAGATACACTAGCTGGAACGAAGGATATGGTAATTAATTTCATGCAACATATGAGGCTGAGAGTTAGACTTTAACATGAAGGAACCTAAAAGTTCACCAATGCTCTGGATTGGGGGTGGAAGTGTCCAAGTAAACAAGCAAGCATGCAGTTTGATTTCTAGGTAAGAGACAGCAGCTTAACACTTTCTGTTACAGAATAGCAAAATAAAACTTTCTTATGATAATCAATTTTGTGTCTAAGACGTAGAAAAACCAGGAAAGTTAACAAAAAAACAAGGTTTCAGATATTCTGCTTATAGCATAATTGTAAAAGAATGCCATTTATTTTAAACAGAATTAACCTCCCTCTTCTGTTAACAATGTGGAGTGGGAAGTTACCTTCAGGGTGAGATTTGGTTCACATGACAGAAGGAAACTGGCCACCTGTCTGCTTGGAAATTGGCCAGAACAGAGAACCCTGGAACCCTGGAAAGTCCAGTGAATGTAGCAGCAGCAGTTCATCCCAGGCTGGTTCCAACTTTAGTGATGCCACACCGAGTCCTTTACTGTCAAAAGTACCTGCATCAGTTAGGTGACACGTACTACAGTCAAACCTTAACACTTGCTACTTCTAACAAGATTTAGCATTTTCCCCTTAAATTCACATATTTTGTGGCTTCCTGGCACTAGTTATTAATTATTTAGTTATAACTTTAACAATGATTCAATCAGAATCATAATTGTTAAAATTATGTTAAATTTTAACAAGCCTCATAATTGTTAAAAAGCAAGTGTCAATATTTAGTATTTTATCTCCATTTAAAAATTGTTTTGACTAAATTAGTTTTTTCACACAGGGCATGTTTTCCAACATTATTTGAGTATGTCTCAACCATCTTTGTATGTTGGCAGCAATAAAACTTAGAGATCTGTTAGGATAAATATTTAGAATTATGGCTGCTTTGAAAATGGAAAAAGGCTGGCTTCCTCGCTTTCATAGATCAGTGATAGAGCTCTTGGAAAAGTTGAGGAGTAAGACAGTAAGTAATCTTGTAGCTAAGATCAACATCATAGGGAAAAAAAGCTATTTGAGTCTATCATTTAAAATTATCCATTTATATTTATCAAGTTTTCTGCTGAATATAATCTTACATGTTTTATGAACATATAGAAGCCTATTTTTTAAAACTCCATCTAAAACATTGTCATTAATTTAGACTTTAAAAAATTGACTAACTAGTATTTTATTTTTATGAAGGGCATTTTATAGAACTTAAAACATAGGAATCCAAATACAAAATATACACAGTCCTTAAATATAATAATACTTCATAATATTTATTTGGAAGACATTTCTGACTATGATTCATAATATATTCTGTTGCAACCACAACAAAAATATTTCATAAAGGTGAAATATAACATGGGTTTGCAGCTAACATTGAACTAACTTTCCATACCATAATAATGGTAGTAATAAAGAGCATTGAAATTTACTTGCAAAGGTTGAAAAATATGATACACTATGGTTAGAAAAAAAACGAAAGAACATTTTTACAATTGAGTCACGTGTTTTTTACTTTCTTAAAAGTCTTTGATCAACAATGCCTGGATAGATATTTCAGCCACACTTTTTTTTTTAACATCTTTATTGGGGTATAATTGCTTTACAATGGTGTGTTAGTTTCTGCTTTATAACAAAGTGAATCAGTTATACATATACATATGTTCCCATATCTCTTCCCTCTTGTGTCTCCCTCCCTCCCACCCTCCCTATCCCACCCCTCCAGGTGGTCACAAAACACCGAGCTGATCTCCCTCAGCCACACTTTTTGTACAATACTATTTTCTGTATTTTCCAGTTACAGATAATATAAAGCCATAAAATAGACAGTAGTACAGAATTTAATGATTGTCTCTTTAATACTAGTTGCATAAAGAATCATCCAGAATACAAAGCAACCAATGAAGAGAGCAGTTTCCTTAATTTAGACCCTCATATGAAATGCCAAAATATAGTCAAATTAGATGTTTATTATTTTACTTGACATTCTTAGTAGATGGTGCTTTCCACAAGAAATACTATGTAAAGGAGTTCTTTTCCCCTTACAATGGCTATTTGAACCAGATCCTTTTACTTATTTGGAGTTTGTTGATTATTCTTTTCAGTATACTGCCTATATGTAAACATTTTTGAAACTATATGTTTTTATTATTTCTTGTTCTATTTTATTTCAAGCAACCACATAGCATTTCATATATTTTTTCATTTATAGGATGTATATTTAAATATGTTTACTGAAGTATAACATGTACAGAAAAGCACCCAAATATGAATGTATAGCTTGATGAATTTTCACAAACATGAAAAAAAGAACTATGTAAACACCACCATGCTCAAGAAACAGAATCCTACCAGCTCCTCAGCTACGCCTCTTAGATCCTCTCCCTTTCAAAGTTCCCACTTTTCCCCAATGATAACCACTATATTATACATATAGTTGTTCTGATATTATAGATTACTAATATT